TGTGGAGCATTCCCTTCAACCCTTCCAAAGAAAATCTCGCGCTATACGACTCTTGATTACTCAAACCAGAATCCACAGTGCGACACTCGCAATGGCATCACGCCACAACAACCTTGGATCACATGACCCCACACCGCATCGCTCTGACAGCACCCGTCCCAGTCCGTTGGCCACCTGCACTGTGTTGGTAGCAGTGGCAACCCCTATAGGTAGACATGGGGTTAGAGTGGACGGGCACTTTCCAGAGATTATTTGTATGCGCGTCCATACCTGCGTCCACGGAGTAAAACGATTCATGCCTGTGACAGTCCTAATATTACAGCCATAAGCAGCGGTCACACTCACGCACAACTCGTCGCGCCGTGAAACTCGTCACTTAACTTTCCCATCAGTCTGAACCACCTTTGTCGTTTTGCCATAGCACGATACCTCCAGCCTTAATCAGATTTATGAGGAGCAAAGGTGCGGTAAAATGAATGCACAGCCTTGCCCTCCTGGTTTCATTACAACACGATCGTTTGGAGGCCCAAAGCCGACATGGATAGAGGCGGTACCACCGACCGCGGCAAAGGGGGGTGGTGGTACTATCGATCGCGACAGGCAGGGGTGGTACTACCGATGACGGTACTACAGGAGCGTCACTACTGACCGCGGCACTACAGGGGCGGTGCTAGTGATGGCGGTACTAGCGAAGGCGGCACTGTGGTAAGCGAAGTCCCTGCCGATCCTATTAGCACATGTTTCTGTCATCCCGCACAGGTTGAATGCCGGCCCCTCACCTGTCACGTTGATATTCCCAGCGCAGCAAGCCATGCCGACGGAAACAAGACAACCTTATTTGTTCCTGTATAGTGATAAAGTTTCGAAAAAAACATTTGCTGATTACATGACGCCGACGCTACTACAGCCAAAGTAAACAAGAGGCGCCAGACGACGGCGGCAGCCCCTATGACGCGTCGCACTGTGGCAGACTGTGACAGTAGCCAGCCACCACAAACGCATACAGAGCTGAACACGAGTTATCCGTCACAGCGGAAGGCAAGCGCGAAGCTACAGCTATCGGTGTACGGGTGTTTTGGCTTTTGGTGTTGTACTGTAACATCCGCAGAAACGGTCGTGGTCCATGCCCATCATGCTTAGAAGAGTGTCATGACTGGCTGAAGGAGGCGAGCCAAGCACCTCTCTCCTTAAGGTGGTTGCAGAAGTTTTTTCCTCCAGGCACGACCTCTGAGCATCAAACAAGACACATTTGAAATTTCACGACACCACAGCTGGAAGAAGGATTTGAGGTGCGACGCGCATCGTTTTGGAAGCGGGCCTCGGCTTGCTCTCCGGCTCGCGATTTTGGAGCTAGTTTCCCTCGATGATCATCACCAGCGCCTTTTTGTAGTCGCCAGACGTCTCCGACTGAAACAGAACATGAGCAATGTGATGCGTAAAAAACAAACACCAGGAAACGTGACACAAGATGTGACATACGAACCTGCCTTCCGTGCCCGCTCAGGTCTATAAGTTGAGAAACGAGTAATCGACTTAGCCACGCATGAAGATCTTCGACCCCATTCGAACCTTTCGCTCAGCATTCAGTGCGACTACGCCAGCCATACTGTCACCACTGCCTCCTGAAGACTACTGCGTGTCGCCATCCGAGTCCAGTGTTGTATGAAGGATCCCCACCGTCCCCCACCCGACAGTTCGATCTGGCTGAAGGTCCCCACCGTCCCCTCAGCCGACGGTTCGATCTGACTGACGGTCCCCACCGTCCCCCCAGCCGACGGTTCGATATGGCTGAAGGTCCCCACCGTCCCCTCACCCGACGGTTCGATGTGGCTGATGGTCCCCACCGTCCCCTCAACCGACGGTTCGATCTGGCTGAAGGTCCCCACCGCCCCCTCACCCGGCAGTTCGATCTGGCTGAAGGTCCCCACCGCCCCCTCACCCGACGGTTCGATATGGCTGATGGTCCCCACCGTCCCCTCACCCGACGGTTCGATATGGCTGATGGTCCCCACCGTCCCCTCACCCGACGGTTCGATATGGCTGACGGTCCACACCGTCCCCTCACCCGACGGTTCGATCTGGCTGAAGGTCCCCACCGCCCCCTCACCCGACGGTTCGATATGGCTGATGGTCCCCACCGTCCCCTCACCCGACGGTTCGATCTGGCTGAAGGTCCCCACCGTCCCCTCACCCGACAGTTCGATCTGGCTGACGGTCCCCACCGTCCCCTCACCCGAAGGTTCGATATGGCTGATGGTCCCCACCGACGGTTCGATCTGGCTGATGGTCCCCACCGTCCCCTCACCCGACGGCAGCCGATCGTGAGCATGACACTGTGATGATGCCTTAGGCGTAGTGACTTGGTTTACTGGCATGATCCCAGCTTCGTCAGTGGATGTATCCAACGCTGGGACCAGCCCATGAGGGGATTGCACCGCACGACCATAATCGGTGTGCCCCTCCACTAGCGTCATATTGCACAATGGTATGACACCACAAAGCAAGATGCGCGCTCAACTTCCTTGCAACGTCACCACCGAGGCATTGTGCAGGGCCTGTATGACGGCGTAGTGTCCCACATTCTACGACCAATCGTGGGACGCGTCCACACTTCGCCCCGGTGCCGGCCGCGGGCACGCGCCCCCACTCACCGACACGTCCTTCTCCATGGCGTGGCCGTAGCGTCTGAGGTACTCCTGCTTGATGTTGGCCAGGTCGTACTCGGCCCGGGACACGATCAGCCGGATGAGGTCGCCGTCCCGCGTGCCCATGCCCTTCATCGTGTCCCGGATCCGCTCGGCGAAGTAGGCCGGCCGGTTCAGCGAGCTCTTAACTGGGGACAGCGCGTCCGCGCGTTTAGGCAGGACACACGTATCTCCGTGTGGAGCCTTGAGCGAGTGATCAGCGCCGACGGGGAATGTCGGCGAAGGTGGGAACGTGAAGGTCGCTGGCGCTGCGTGTCGCTTCCACAGTGAGAAGTTGTAACCGTATATGTTGAGCTGCCCTGATCAGAGCTGACCTGACCAGAGCTGCCCTCCTCACAGCCAGCCGCGCCTGCCAACCTCAATGGTCCCAGCCAGCTTGACCTGATATCACATGGCATCACATGACGTGGTGTGACATGGCGTGACATGACATGACGTGACGTGACATGACGACGTGACGTGACGTGACGTAAAGTAACGAGAAGCGACGTGGCGTGCCGTGACGCGGCGTTAACTGCTATATCCTACCCTTCTTCGAAGCCAGCATTACCCACCAATTCTCACTGATCTCGCTCGGTCTAACCTGACCTGGCCTGGGCTCACACGGTACCCACCGACAGCCAGCAGCGCCTGGCGGTAGTCCCCGCTCGTCTCTGAGCTGATGGCGTCGAGCAGGCTCTTCTTGGAGAGCTTCTCGTACTCGGCCATGATGGCGTGCAGCTGGGCGGCGCTCTGCGTCGCCACGATCACCGTGAACGTCTCCTCGTCCGTCCCCCTCTTCTTCTCGCCTGCCGCGGTCAAGGTCGGCGTCGTCAGTGGGCGAACAGAGGTGTTCGCCGTTGGGGCAAGAAGTCCGAGTTCGATTCCCGACAGCAGAAACTTTCACCGGTTCCGGTTTTTGTCAGGATGTGATGACGTTCTTGTGCCAGAACCTGCATGCATCGACAAATGCTTCAGCGGTTATTGGCACGAGGTGAAGGCTGGTCGGCTGCTCTCAGACGAGGCGTGACGGCAGCCGGCCTCGCATATGTCACCAGATCCTGAGGAAGTCGTCCCGCGTCCTGGATCGTTCCCCTGTTGTTGTTTCTTTGTTTGTTAGGGCGCCAATCAGCAGTTCGCCTTCGACCCATGACTCTGAGCTCTGCAATCCCGGAGATCTCAGCACGCGTAACCCGGTGGTCTGTCACCTCATCACGACCGTGGGGAAGGTTAGTACAACAAGGTGTAGTATATTAGAGTAGGGTGTTCGAATTTGACCATGCAATGTTCAATAGAATGTGCGAATTCAGCGAATGTTTGGATCATGTAATCCCTGTGGCAAATACAAATTATAATACTGTTTATACCTATATTTATAAGACTGGTTACTAGGACGTTGTACTGTTCATGTGTAACTTCAAGCCGTGCGGCCGAGGGAAAAGACCAGGCTAAACCACAGGAAGACGACGTACCAGCCTTGTAGAGCGCCTGCGCCTGGGGCCGCCTTTGCCGGGTCAGCGTGGGGGGACTCATCCCTGTGGCCTGCCGAGTCAGAGGCACACGTTAAGGTCAGCGGACAGGGATAAATACCTCAGCCAGGGAAAGGGTCACAGGTCACAGGTCGCAGTCAGGGACGGAGACAGCATAAGTCACAGCCAGGGATGGGCGACACAGGTCACAGCCAGGGAGAGGGGTCACAGGTCCACAGCCAGGGATGAGACTATCTAGGTCACAGCCAGGGATGGCGCACACCGGTCACAAGCCAGGGAGAGGGTCACAGGTCCACCGCCAGGGAGGGGGGGTGGAGACACAGGGTCCCAGCCAGGGACGGGAGACAGAAGCCATCAGCAGGGACGGTGGACCACAGGTCACAGCTAGCAACAGGATCCTTCTGAGTAAGATTCAGTACCCTCTTAGATCAGTTATGGACCCTCCCTGATTACAGTTTTGGCTAGGCAGGTGACGCTACAGGGCCGTCGATTTGGGCAAGAGGCTTTCAACATTTTGATGGTACAACAAACATACTCTCGCCTCCATGCCTGCCGGAGCGCCGGAGGCGCGGGGGGGGGGGGCAAGGGAGCAGTTGTGCCCCCCCCCCTTCTGCACACAAACAGGTCAGTCAGAAGGGCCAGGGCGGGCCTAACAGTCGACCTGCGGACCATCAGAAGCAAAGTAAGCCCAGGAAGCATCTTCCCTTGATCATGCGCCACGCAGGGATTGCCAGAAGCTGTAAGAAAGTCTAGTTAAGAAGCCTAAAAGTGGATGTCCAAGAACACGTTCGTTTTTCTTTCTAGTGTCTTTTCACAGTCCTTTTCAGAAACATATCCGCTCGCTTTAATCGTGAGTGCTGAAATGCGTATGCATGAGAGGAACGCACCAAGGGAGTCGCCGCTTGGGTAGCTAAATGGTTTAACGAGTATGTTCTTTTCATTAATCGCCACACACTACGCGTTCAACTTCTGAAACAGTTATGGATATAAAGCTGTAATTCTCCGTCAAAGAGTCATTTCAGGTCATCCTAACGCATGGTGCGCCATCACCACGCCATGAGTGCGGACTGAACGGCCGCCCGACCCGTTCCCACCTGTAAGAAATGCGGTGAGTAAGGAGCTTGAAGTTGGAGCTCGTCCTCGGAGCGAACAGAAGACTCCAGGCGGCCTGCCGTACACTGGCGGCGAGTCGGCATCAGGTTTAGTGGCGGTACAACTGGTCGGTGTGCGTGGTGTGCGTGCAATGCGTGCGGGGCGTGTGTGATGGGTAGGGTGGGGGGGTTGGGGGGGGGGGGGGGGGGGGGGGGGGGGAGGTAACTGGCAGCGATCGGCACCCCACTAACAGACGCAACTGAAACAGGTTCAATTGATAAATGTTGTTGTTAAAACTAACTAACAGCACCATACGTTAACTATAACTGTAAATTGACAAAGGTTCAACTTGCCTTGAGCATAAGGAACACAGAACTATAGCGGGCGCACTGCACAATGTGGGACAGAGACAGTTGAAGATACAGCAGATGCAACAGAATATGCAACATGCTCCGCGGCACGGCGCCGCGGTAAGCGCATCGCAAGCGTGTCATGAAAACCTCCATGGGTCGTGTGCGACCCAGCGGCCAGACCCTTAGCCCTTGGTACCCTTAGCCACAGCGTGAGGAGAGGAGGTCACGTGAACGATATCACGTGCGATGTAGAGCATCGAGCGTTCACAATCGCGTTTTGTAACGCTTCCCATGACGCTCAGTTACGCCATGGCCCGGGACTGCCGCCCAGCAACGCAACAGCATGGCGCTCACTGTGCTCGTAGGCGGCCTTGATGCCGTTCAGCTCCGCGTTGGTGTGCGTGCAGAGCGTCTCGAAGAGCGTGTCCTCGTCGGTGCCCGCGCCTGACATGGCCTCGTGCAGCTCCTTCGCCAGGTATTCGAAGGGCGGCGTCATCAGCGACAGGATCACATCTTCGAAGTTGCCGCCCAGCTCCTTCCCCAGGTCCTTGGTCAGATCCTGGAGAAAGGGGAAGGCGAGTGACGTCACTGGTTCCGTCGACAGCGCTAGCTGGGCAGCCGCTGTCAGTGGCGGAAAATTCGTTGCTCTTAGTGATTGGTGAGTGTTCCACCCTTGGAACATCTTTCAAAAACATGTTCTGGCGAACCCTCAGAATCTGTTATTTGTATAAAAAGTACTGAGGGGAGGCGGAACCGGTTTACCAACAGGATAGTATGTGCAAATGAGTTTACTTAGTTTCAAGTTCCAATTGCGCGACCAACATTTCACACCCTCACTAGTGTGTTTCTGAGGCCCTGGACGATTCTAGCGCACGAAAGATAATTGCTGCTGTAAGTTCATGGCCATTACGGATGGTTGTCAGTTTCCACACCGCGTGCTAAGTGTGGATAACGGTTTGCAAGATGTTAAAGCAGCCCTGCTCGGCACGTGATTGCTATTTTCCTCAATATATTGCGTAGTAATAATCGCAGAAGGGTATTTCAGCTCGCACCGAATCGTCTGCTCAAAAGCGGTGAAAAGATTTGACTGTTTATTAATATCCGGCATTGGTGGCATGTAGGCAGCGAAGAAATGAAGTGTGTCATTTTGTACCTGTTATGTCTCATGTGTCTTATTGGTAGAAATAAAACATTAATGCATTCCATGCTGGTCTTGTAACACTTTGCAAGCAAATAATTTGAGAGGCAAAGCTGAAGTGATGAACAACTGATTTAAAATCATGAGTATGGGAATTAAAAAAATGTTATGCTTATGCCATGTTAACAGACCAAAAGCACAGTTCTTAGATCAAGTTTAGAGCCCAATGTTTCTCTTCCAACCATACTGTTGGAGAGCGCGGCTCAATCTGGCTATATGCGCTGATAATTGTGCTGGTTGGTTACCAATGAAATTAAGCAAAGTCAAAGGCCAAAAATTAGACAGGTGTTCACCATGGTATTTGCCATGTTCTACGTAACATGTCAAGACCACTTGTTTGAAATCTATCATAATAATCATAGCATGAACACCCCATGTTGGAACAGATGGTAAAATGCAGCAGTGATGTGCAGTTTGATGATGCTGCCATTCAACATTATCAGCAGCTGATAACCCCAAGTTTTCAGTGAATGCATTCTGCTCCATGTGCCTTATCTGTTATTGGGCTGATAAAATGCTGACAAAAATGCTCCCTCATGTCTATGCTCACCTTTGCATGTTGAAAACTGGGGAGGTTCAGTTCAAATCAGAAATAACACACATTTTGTGGTATGAATGTAGGAATTAAAACATAATGCTGTACTCCTATGATCATTCCTCACCTAAAACTCTGTTTGCTTAATTGGGTGCATGTGCTTAACTTACTATTTTATCCATTTTGCTTTGCCAGCACAGTAAGCTGTGAAGCCTATACCAAAAATTGTGCTGGGTAATTAGTGCACTTGAGCCATAAGTACATGGACCACAAATGGGCCAGGATTCTTACCAGGGTGTTCACAATAATATTCTCAGGTAGTCATGGCTGGTTTTCCCAAAATACTGCATAATGACTACAGAAGAACATCAGCATTCCATATTGGAACAACCAGTCAAAATAGTGATCATAGGTTACCATTTGACTTAAAAATCTTTAAGTAATTGGCTGAAACACTCAACTGAGTGGATGCTGTGATTGGTTCATATTGCCTTTGACAGTTGTCAGTCAGACTCTGATACAAATGTCATCATAATGATAGCCTGTGGTTGCTGTTCTTGACAAGCTCTTCCAATGTGGGGTGCAGATCTTTTCTGTAACTATTGTGCAATATCTTGGCAAAACCCAGCCATAACATGTTCAGTGGAACATTGTGAACATCTTGCAAAGCATTGGCACAATTCCCAGACTCCACACACAGCACAATTGTAGATAATCGTCCAGCACAATTGCTTATGCAATGACCTATGCTTACATTGTGTGGTGGCAAAGCAAGCTGTACAAGATGGTAAAATAAGCATATTTACCAACACAATCCAACAAGAAATCAGTAAAGTATTCTTTGGTTTACCATGAGTGCAAGAATGAGTTAATGATGTGATGATAATGGTTCCGAGCGTGGGCAATGTGTCAGTCAATGCAAGGCAAAGCCAATATGCTTGGGATGAAAATATTTTGTGGCAGATGCGTCAAATGTATTCATTTCATCGCATTATACTGCTATCCACCGTGCTTCTGGTGGTGGACAAACGCTACATTTGCGTGTTGATGAGGTATGAATGTTATTATCAGCTATGAACGCTTTCAGTTATCACAGCGCGGTGCAGGCATTCGGCGAGAAGCGAGTTGGCGAAACATGTCACAAAACCAGCGGATATTTCGCAGGTGTACACCTGCCTCGTTCAAGCAGCCCTGGACTTAGCTGGCATCTATGTAAACTATGTTCCCCAAAGCCAAAGTAGCCGTCGAACAGGGCACCTGGCTAAACGCCATACGGCACGCATCAAAGCCATAGCGCAGCGTATCGTTGAATTCGCATGAGATTGACCGCATATTTGCATATATTGTTCCTCAATCGAGGGTTCAAAGCTCCTGTGTAATGTACCGCACCAGGATACTTGCGAATTGGTGAACTGAGACTTTCACATGACATACACGTTGGAAACAGTCAAACAGATAGGAATTTTGAATTTGACAGTGACGAAGAGCAAGTTCCAAAGATATTTGGTCCCGTCGAGGAGGCCAGTTCGAATCAAATATCAGAACTTTTCGGAAAGATTTTGAGAAAAGGTGGGGAAATGCAAAAAGGCTGGACACTCCCTTTAACGATCTGACGATTTACCGACACATGCAACTCTTGCGACTATTAGCGTCACCAACACCCACGCCGGTCGCCGCATTAGGGTCACATCAGGGTCATTAGGGTCACGGGGTGTCTGGAGAGTGACGAAGTAGCTGGAAAGGCACGCGTTGTGCGGGATTTCAGCCCAGGTTCTGGAAATCAGAGCTGCGCTTTCGCTCGCCGAGTTCCCTCCGGCGGACGCGGAAGCCGCAACCGGCAGCAAAGAAGCAGAAGAAATAGGGCGGATCCAGAACAACACCAAGGGAGGGGAAGGGGCACACCCGGCTTGGGGCTAAAGTACAATTTATTTTTCTTCCAATTTGTCGAAACTCATTTCCAAAACTTTCAAAACTTCTTCATCTCTAATTACTTTCCAATCCGAGCCATTGAAGGGCGTGTAAGCCCCGGGATGAAACGGGCTATCACATTTTAAGACCTAAACAAAGGCGCAGCTGAGAGTAACCCACTCTGAGATGCATGAGGAAAAAACAGCAGAGACCACAAATACTACGAACGAAGGAGCCACGAGAAGCGCCCAGACAAACCGACGTAACGTTATATCCCCGTTTTCATGGACAGAAGAGTGGTGTGCGCGGAACTCCCCTCCCCCGCCCCTCTGACGTTGCCAGTCCGTCACCCACTCCCCCCTCACCTTGCCGTAACCAGACTTGTACTGGACGGCGATCTGCTGGCGCTGGGCGTTGCTCCTGCGACACAGAACGTCGATGATGGCCTGCTCGTTCGTACCGAAGCCCTTCATGGCCTTGCGCAGGGCCGCCGCGTCCTCGGCGGCGTTGAAGCCCGGAGCCGCCCGGATGGTGCCCTGCGACTGAGCACGCGGGGACGGTTAGCATGGCTGTGTCCCGGTCAGAGCGAGACGAGCACTGACGGAGTTCTTCTGAATTACACTGATAGGCTCCACTTGAAGAGGAAACAGAAAATAACGATGGGCCCTCTTGCAGTTGAGAATGTGGTGACCCTTGGTCAGGCCAAGTGTCATCAAATTTCACAAATTCCAATATTGTTTGCAGACAACTCAGTTCTCAGAACCTACTGCACCAATCGCTGCAAAACCTTCACTTACGGACGTGCCATACCTAATTCTCTGATAAAGTTGAAAGTTTGGTGACGCTAAGTCAGATCAAAGGGCATCAAGCTTCATAAATCCCAAAAGTATTGCTGGCAGATGACCCAGTTCTCAGAGCCTACCGCACCGATCGCTACCAAACCTCCACTACAGTGTCCCATACCCAAATTCCACATGCTGCTGAAAATTTGGTGACTCTAGGTCATGTCAAAGGTCATCAACTTCCACAAAATTCTAAAACTCTTGCTTGCAGACGGCTCAGTTATTGGGACCGACCGCGCCGCGTGGCCGCGTTATCCACACAGTGGCCGCGTTATCGGCCGGCTCGGCTCCCCGCTCCATGAAAAGCAGCTTGCCACGCCCCCGCCGGCAGCGCCAACTGACCTGGGCCATTGCGAAGCTTGCGGCGGCTGTGTCTCACTGCGTTCAACCGCACGCCGGACACACCCACCGCCCAGCGCGGCAACAGATCGCAGCTTGCAAGAACCCCTTCGCGCCTGGCTGCCGCCAGATGGCGGACGCCCGACGCACGGCCGGGCCGGCGATGCGGCGGCAAGGTGCACCCGTGCAGGCACGGAATGTTAATTACGAAACGCTGCGTGCGGCAAACGTACGTCACCAATGTGAAAGCGGATTATCGGCTATAATGGGACAAGCATTCCCGCAATAGCAACTGCGACCGTGCTATCGGCTTCAAGTGCAACCTGTCAGTTTTAAAACGGGTCTGAGCAGCAGCCGCTCAGTCCTCGTATCAGCGGTCTGGGCGGCTGCCGGCCGGCCGGTCGATACTCGGCCAGAGTCCATCAACGAACCCCGTACGTTAGGAGCGACATCGTCCAAACCGTTAAAAACATAGCGCGTGTGCATATGTGTGAAAATTATCGATATTTGCTGCTTATTCTTTGATTTCCGGGACTGATATTGTGAAGCCTTCAATGCCCTTGGCAGCGGTCTGCGAGACAGGCGGCCGCGCGGCCGGGTCCAGTAACGGAACTCACTGCAGGCTAGGTGCAAGACCGGCCAAAACGGTGCAAACGTGGCACGTGTGTCCGTGTGTGCAAATGTTTGGGTTGAGCCAAACGTCTCACCACTTTAAGGGCCCAGACCACGCACTACGAGGCGCAGCTTCGGCTAGATCACTCCAGGCCCACGAAGGGACCTCTCTGCAGCTTAGATACAAGACCGGCCAAAACTGGCGTTCTTTTCGAACGTGCCGAACGCAGGACGTGTGCGCGCGTGTGACACACGGAGACATGTGTTCACCACTCTATTGCTTTGATGATTGAACGTGCCATTGTAAAAGCCCCTATGCAGCTGGGACCAGTCGACTGAGAATTGCCGGGTCCAATAACGGACCTCCTGACAAATAAGGTCCAAGACAGCCCAAACTGGTATAAACGTAGCACACGTGCGTGTATGTGCAAATGCCAGAGCTGTCCGACCGTTTCATCGCTTTCGGGTCCCAACTTACGCATTGTGAGGCGCAACTTCGGCGCTTCAAGTCCAGCATTGGACCTACCAGCGGGCTAGATGTCAAAGCAGCCAGTCGGCACGAACGAGACGCGTGTTGACGCATGCCAAATATGTAGACATGCTTCGACCACTCTATCGCTTTCGGGAATGGAATTGTCAAGCTTCTGCTTTAAAGGTGCTGTGAGTGGCATGCGGTCGCCCGGTCGAGGATCACCCCATTTCCTATAAGGCACCACCCTTTACAGATTAGATGCAAGATCGTCCAAGCGCGTAACAGGATGGCTTTAGCTCTCCCCCTCCCCCTCCCCCCGCCCCGCTACAAACACACTTTGAGAGAGGAAATGGGCAAATTCGGGATAAAACACGAGTGAGTTTTGGGAGGCGAGGTTTTCAGAATTTTGCACGGTTCAACCTCCGCCCTCTCATTGCAATGTTCGTCACTGCAGGCACACGCGTGTTCGTTGGGCCCATGGCGCTACGTATTACCTACATTGTTATACAGAAACCAAGGTCATGGCGTGGTGGAACATGATAAATAGGGATTTCGTGTTCCTTTTGGTTGGGTGTGACATCTTTCTGCAAATGAAATAATGCGAGTGTGCGTACACTGCCACCGCAATGGCGACCTACATAACCAAAGCCATGCCGAACAGAGTCGCTGAAGGAAGTCGTCTTCGTCATGTCACATGACGAAATTTCGTCACCGCCTCTGGCTCTAGCCGAGCTGGATGAAATCCGTCCCCTCCTTGCCACGCTCGGTGCTCTCAGAGGTGCTGTGTGGAGAAGGCCTACCTCGGTCAATCCGGTCCCCGACGCCCCCCCCCCCCCCCCGCTTCGCTTACCCAGACGGCACGTTCGGCCAAGGTCACCGTAAGCTGACATTTGGTACTCGGCGGCTTGTTGCAGGGGTGACTCTTTTCAGAATCGGTTTGGGAGAGGACGGAGCGCAGCCAGTAAGGTTCACCAAACCTACCCCAACATTTGTTTGTACAGTTTGGCACAGTTTGGGTGCTCTTGTATCTAACTTGCGGGAAGGTCCGTTGTTGGACTCAGGCAATTAGCAACAGGCCGGCCGCTAGCCGCCCAGACCACTTGTACAATGGCATGTTCAATCTCCAAAGCGATAGAGCGGTCGACACATGCCTCCATATATCATATGCGTGCACACGCACCCTGCTTGTGCCGCTTTGGCCCGTCTTGCATCCAGACTGCGGGGGAGGTCCCTCACTGGGCCTGAAGTGGTCTAGCCGAAGCGCGGCGCATGTTTTGACTGTCGCTCAGACTGAGCTTGGAAGTGGAAGTTTACACTGCAAGGCGATAGCACGGTCGCAGTTGCTATTGCGGGAGCGCTCATTCCATTGTAGCCTCCATTAAGCTTTTCATAGGCGACGAACGTTTGGCGTACGCAGCGCTTCTTCATTGGCGTTCCGCGCCTGCTCGGGTGCACCTTGCCGTCGCATCGCCAGCCGGGCGACCGCCGGCCCGTCGGCGGCCGTTCCAGCACACGGCAACAAGCTGCACAACCAGTGGCTGGCGGCGCCCGGAGGGATGACGTGCAGCGTATTTATTCCGGTAGATATGAAAACGCCACGGGTGGAGAAAATCTGCTGCAAGGCTACCAAACAAGAGAAGTTTTCTTACTGGGCTGCTACGTCCGCGAAACACCAAAGGTAAGCATTATACTCCGCTACTGGTGCACGACGCGGTGACAGGCAATACCTTCAAATGACAGCGCAACAGCGCGTTAGCAACACAGTCGTAAGAGGTTTGAATTCAAAGCAGAGATCAGGAGGCAATGCTGAGAGAGGTGAGCGAATCGCACGTGGTCAAATTTCAGCTACCCTCAACTGTGCGGCCCTGATCAGATTATCACCACGATATCACCCAAACTAAAAGCTTGGAGTTTGATATGAAAGGCGCTCTTGCCTGTCACGGCCAATGATAGTGGGGAACAGTGAAGAGGGTAGATACAAAATAGCACGTAGTGATTCCTAGATGACTCATTAAAATCTAACCTATATGGGTATAGCTTCACAAAACACAAAATAAGCTAGGGAAGTTGGGCTGAACAGTGAGAAATAACCCCAATTACCACCAAATTACGGCAAAAATAGGTTGATCTACGGATATATACCGTTCTCCTCTCAAAGTTCGGGGGAAAGGCTCTTTCAGATGGCTATTTAATGTTACCTGAATTTATCAAGATGGGTTTTTCAGTTCAAACCCCACATAAAAATGTGGAACATTCCAAAAGGTGGGACACTTTTGGAGTATACCACCTTTGGTTGGGATACTATAGTTGTAGCGACTACCGTCGTCATGAAAACGGCAGAATCTGCTGAGGGTCGTTATCAATTGTTACTGGTTAGAGAAAACACCGTTTAACTGTTTTAACCGGCACATTGCCGGCCTATGGCTTGAAAGTGGTGTCTCTTCTGGCATCACTGACGTCAGTACAAATGGACGTTTGTGATCGGCACATCGGGCGATAAAGGCCAGTTACCAAGAAACGCATTGATTGAAGTTTGAACAAGTGTGTCACTTAAGACCACGTGATTCGCCGCATCACGTGGTGCGTTTCGAAACTGTGCTTGACGCCATGAGGGAGAAACCAAACCCATAAGATAACGCTTCCTTGAATTCGCGGGAAAACAGCCTGGTGTTTGCATATCGTTTTCTCTAAAAAAAAAAAATGTTCAAAACTTTCTGAGCATCTATTTCACAGGCATTTTGACAAATTGATGTGTTGCGATGAGTGCAGTGCACACACATCGGAAAAAGCAATGGAAATGCAATGCATTACTTTCATAGTGGTGAGTAGGAAGCCCAATAGATTTTTCCCACAGTAGCGGCTACGCCAAGTCAAAACTCGGAGCTAGTAATAAGGATTTCGAGAAAACTGGCATCACCGATCAGATGGTACGCGTCTGATATAGCAATGAGTGAAAAGTGAAAAAGGGAGCTCTACCCCCTCTGAAAGAAGTTCACGTTTTAGGCGGACAATTTTGAAACTTCCACGACAGCAACAATCAGAAATGCCCTCATGCTACAACAAAACTGTGCGTTTCGTCTGAGTGTCGTTGGGTGCGGGCATGACTGAATGTGAACTTTTTCACAAAGGGGACGACTTTTTCGGTGGCTTCCACGCAGATACCAGCGGCCTGAATTCACATGAAGTTTTTCACCAAAATGGCTAAGATAATTTTACGCGCCGGCAGTGCGGTGCACCCAAGCCCGAAATCAGAAAAGCCCGGTTCGAACCCCAGCAATGCCAAGGAGAAAGCATGAATGGTCAAAAGTCGAACGCCGGCAGTCGTTTTCAGGGTTCAGTAACACTTGAAGACGGCCGGAGAATGAATCAGCCGAAACGTTGCATAAAACATTTTTGAAAAAAACCAACGCACCAAGCGAGGACGGCTGTCCAAAACAATATTTGCATATGTTATTACCCATTATCACTGTAACGGCGTACAAACACCGCACTTTGTCTTTTGCGCTCCATTGTTTCAAGGTTCTGCTGCCCGACGATACATGGCATTAAAACTCAACTTTCAACTGCATTCACCATTTTCAATTATCACCGCTAACCATCAATATTCGTGTCACTCGATGTCACTTGAGTCATTACGATTTAGATTTCGTTCTGATATTCATCACCTTCATTTAAACTATTTGCTGCAGGTAAGCTCATTTACCTAAGACGCGACTTTTTTTAGCGGTTTTGACGCACAAAACGAAAACCAACTAGCTATCAGAATCAATTATCATGGCAGAGTTTGATGCTATTTGGAAGCCAGCTTGAACTCACTTTGACACATAGTCGATGGGCAAACATGAGCGTTTTTCAAATACGGCTACGTGGCACGCATGGCTGTCGAGTGTTGCGCCCGGTAAGAAAGTTCTGCCGTATAAAAATAAGAAGAATGCAAATATGAAAATTGAATGGTCGAAATCCAGACCTGTCTCGCTCTCCGGAAGTGTCAGATACTCCTATAAGCTAGGAGAGATCACCTTCTCGGCAAGGTCGCCATACTTTGCATAAGATCCCTCCCAATACTCAGCCCTGAAACTATCCTCGCGCCTACCACGTACCTGGACTTTTAACACAATATACCTCACTTGTATGTACACAATATGACAAAACACGTCGCAATACGTTTGAAAACATTGAGAAAATTTCGACGACCGTTGAAATCAAGGCCAGTTTGATTATTGCAACCGGCGTAATAGTTCCTGAGATCTCGTCAAGGAGGGAGATCTAGGGACTCCCTATTCCGTGCCCAATAATATGGGAAATAGGGAGCCTGCTCCGAGTAGGGTTAAACTATAAGCGATGCATAACTACACCAACCTGAAAAACTTGTGCCGATTAGCAAAGGATGAATGCATGCTCTGAGGCAGCAGAGTCGTCTTGGGTAAATGGTTGACGGGAGGTGCGGGCCAAGGGTCGAATAACCAATCTTCTCCCCAAATGTGTATTTCTCGACGAATTTAGCCCACTGGATTTTAACCAATGGCCACGTTCAGAATAAAGTTTTGCATCATTTATCAACCAATCAGATACGAAATAGCATGACGGTAGCTACCAATAATGCCAGAGAACGGTACACATTGTTTAATCTTCACATTTTCCTACGTTATGTAATTATGAAAACATAATTTCCATTTCATAACCATAATTCACTGTAGTGAACAGAAGTGTCCCTTTATCTTCAGTTGATGGCTCCATTCCTCCAGCTTAAGAAGAAAGCGGGCCACGTTCGGGAAGACACCACCTTTCGGCGTGTTTTGGGGAAGACTTGGCCGTTGTCTATGCTCAACTCCAAACATATTTTGCGTAACTACGCGCCGGTATGTAATATTTGAGTAAAAATGTTGGCGGGTGGGACAGGCATTCGATAGCTCAGTCCAGCATTAGCGGGTCCAGGGCCTTCATAAAAGGATACCAATCGACACCCTGCCCGAAGCTAAGACGTGTGTGCTGTATGAGGATGCGGGGAACGTTCACAGCATTGGAAATGTATTCATTTTGTAATACTAACCTTTTCCATATAGGTGCGATTTCCTGGCTGGTATGGCCCAGATCCACGACTGATCCCATGTCCTTGGGATCCAGGTAGCGGATTCGGGTTTCCTGCGACTTGGCCAGGATAAGCACCTACTTGACCAGGATATCCTCCCCCTTGGCCAGGATATCCACCTCCTTGACCTGGATATCCTCCTCCTTGGCCAGGATATCCACCTCCTTGGCCTGGATAGCCGCCTCCTTGTCCTTGTCCCCCTTGCCCTGGATATCCTCCTCCTTGACCAGGGTATCCACCTCCTTGGCCTGGATAGCCACCTCCTTGTCCTTGACCACCTTGTCCGGGGTATCCACCTCCTTGGCCTGGATAGCCACCTCCCTGTCCTTGACCTCCTTGTCCGGGGTATCCCCCTCCTTGGCCTGGATAGCCACCTCCCTGTCCTTGACCTCCTTGCCCAGGATATCCACCTCCTTGGCCGGGATATCCTCCTCCTTGACCAGGATATCCGCCTCCTTGGCCTGGATATCCGCCTCCTTGGCCGGGATATCCACCTCCTTGGCCGGGATACCCACCACCCGGGGCTGGATACCCGCCCGGCTGTGTCGGGTAGCCATATCCTCCCGGCGGTCCCGCAGGCCCGCCCTGCCCCGGCTGCGCACCGGGGTACGGGTACCCGGGCGCTTGCTGACCCTGCAACAGACCAGGGATACCCTCAGACAGCGCGTGAGGTGCGACGGTCCGCACTGAAGGCCGCCCGACCGGCAAGTCGATTCGTTTGCAGACACAGGAAACAATGTTTGCGTTTCAAACCACGTGGCACGCTTTACGGCTGGCGTGCGCCGTGCCCTTTCTGTTACTTTCTGTTCGGAAAACAGAAAGTAGCTAAGTGAGTTTTATCGTATTCGGGAAAAAACACACACGTTGAACGATGGTGAATGCTGGATGAGTCATGGAACGCGCAAGACAATAATGTTGAATGAGTGACTGAGTATACTAAGAGACCATGGCCCGGCCCGTCAAGATGGCGGCGCAGTCGTGACGCGCCGCGTGATTCTCACGAGCGGGCCTTGTCGTGGGCAAACCAATGCATTTCCGTGCCCGCGGAGCACACGCGTTCGCAGCGGCCTGGGTTTTCACAAGTGGGCGTGCCAGGGCGCCGTGCACCGTCGGCGGTGGTCGCGTCCGCCGGTTCGGGGTTATCGTGTACCGCGGGGGGCGACACCCGCGGGCTCGAGCGCGGGTGGGCCGCGTCTCCACGCACTGCAGCCCGGCAGTACTCACGTACGGGAGCTCCGTAGGCGGGCGGTCCTCCCGGGTAGCCCGTCTGGCCACCCGCCGGGTACGGCGGGTACCCGCCCTGGCCGCCGTACGGGTTGTAGCTCATCTCAGCGGCGTCGGGTAGTCTGAAAGCGCGGACGACACCACGGGCTGTTCAGTAAAAGGGCGCAACGGCCGCAGGGTATAGCGGCACTGGCCGCTGTGCGGGCGGTCCAGGCTGACATCCGAGCCACGCTATGGCCCATGATCGGTGATATGACGATCGTCAGCGCTGACGTTCCATAAGGTAAAAAGAGCAGCCACGTGCTTCGCGTCCTAAAAACAAAATCAATGAGGTACAAAGACGACTTTTTTAGATGGTGCAACATGTCTTGTTTTCGCGATGGACTACCTGCAATTGTCGCTTCGGAGATATGCGCCCAATATCGTCAGGACGTAAATCTCACAGGACCTGTAGAACAAAGACGGCTTTTCTCTACGATGTGGCACCGGCACCCAGGAACGTGCTCAGGTTCTTGCTTGGCCGTACGTGAGGACCGTGACGGATCCAGAGAATGGGAAGCACGGGGAAGCACGGGAAGCACAATGGGAAGCCCTCTTCTCCTTTGAGTCTCGAAGCGTCTCATATGCTCCGAAGGGGTCCGTAGCCAGCCGAAGAGGCGCAGTTTCTCAACACAAAATGCGGCAACATTGGACGTCTTTGGGGTTCCAGGCGACCAGGAACAGTCGGAAGTGTTACTTAAGGCCCCACGAGTAGACGACACTTATTCTTCACTGATTAAAAGAGCGGTGATGGAGGGGTTTCAAGGCTCATTACGCTTTTAAGAGGCCCTACGCTGTTCTCGGGGCCTCATATGTCAACCCTCAGGGTCAACCCGATCGCTACGGAGGTCATCACATTGCCTTGATTTATTTGCATTCGCTCGGAGGGCCCTGCGCTTTTGTCGGGGCCTTTTCTGCTAGCATGTCGAGGCACTCTTGTCGATCAGGGGTCTTCCAGTGATTCTTCCCATTCGCTCGAAAAGCTCTTTACGCTACAGCCGCGCGCCCCATATTACAACCTGTCGGGGTATTCTCGATTCTTCAGTGGCCTTTCACGTTGGTCACCGTTCACCTACCGACACACTCGCGATATGCTCATGGGCCCTCTACAATGGTGTAAAGCAAATTTCCTGCCACCTATGGAATGCTCCACGCTTTTCTCGGGGGGGGGGGGACATCTGCTGTCTTGCTCGGTCACACTCGATCATGCTCGGGCATTCTCGATTATTCGGGGCCCTCCACATTGGGTTTTGGGTACTCCCTACTTGAATGGAGGGCCCCACGCTCTTGCCGGGGGGCCCATCTTTAAACCCACTCGGGCACACTTGATCGTTCGGGGGCCCTCCATGTTCGGTTTTGGATACTTCTTACTTGAATGGAGGGTCCTACGCTCTTGTCCGCGGCCCCATTTGTTACGCTCTGTTACGAGCCGATGACTTGTTTACGGGTGATTGTCGGACATAATTTTACGTCCCGCCGGCGTTGTGTGTACCATTTTCGTTGGTTTTTGAAGATGACACTTATATTACTTATGCATCACGTTCTTAATACACTTCCAATGATAGAACATTTTGCACCCGTTCATAACATTCAAATAAAATTGTACCGGACATTTTGCGCTCCTTCATCCTAGTCAAAGCAAATGAACTATGCTTTAGACTCAGCGATCAGCCGATCATATCGACTTACTGACTAGCTGTAAATCATCTATGAATCAAGTTCGTGCTTGATTTTTTAGGGAACTGAACAGTCACATTTAGTTCACTTTGCCTTGTTTTCCCGAAATCCCAAATGACAGGATCCATCAAGATGTGGAGAAAAAATGAATAAGCTCAAAGTATGTGCATACGTAACACGCGTGATTTTCCAAGGCTGCGCACAGTAAAATGGGTTACAATACACAAATTTCATACCCAAGATCTTAAAATCTGATGGCTTGAATACGGAGATATTTTGGAGGGGCCCAAACTTTAGGGGCACCACGTTGCGTGCCTCCCCCTCCTTGACGAAATCCCGGATCCGCAACTGCGTAGAGAACGCATCCGGTTCACGCGTACGTTGTGACGGTCCCACTGCTTACCTTGAACCGGACGGATATTCTCGTAGCCACCAATTTGCGTCGTCACAGCCTCACTCGTCTCCGTCTCCGCCGCCGCCGTCGCCAGAAGTTCCCGCCTGTTTCAGCACCGCGCCTACGGCCTTCGGCGTGATCACGTAACTGATAACGATAACGTCAGGGCTGTGCTCCGAGGGACTGCTAGCGTGCGCGTGGTCCCCTCGCCCGGCCAGCACGCTGCGCGACCAGTGTAGGCAGTCAGGTCGGGGTTGTTTGGGCCGCGGCCCTGGACGGCGCCAAGCTCTCAGCTGTCGGGCGGCAGCTTGCCAACAGGTTGCTACTCTTGCCCATAGATGGCAGGCACGGGTTACACGGAGGCAGTGTGGGCGTTTGGCAATGGCCGGAAGGATGGCCGTCACTGGCCGCTGGCTGGTCAGCGGAAACTGATATAACAGAGTGCGAAGCGTGTCCAGGTTGAACATGTGGTTTTATTTCGGAGCATTGGCGCGCAATGACAGCGTTATTACGATCGATCTCATGCTGCCGCTACCCGGTTTTGCGGCGCCCGTCTTGGACGCCTTGAGTTAATCCTCCCAAAACCAGAGTGGAGCCACGGCACCGCTTAAATTCTATGGAAGCTGATCGTGAACCAGCCTTGTTTTACGGGTATCACTGACGATTTTCGACCAAAGCAAGCGTCACAGGTGCAGGGGCAAAAGTCCAGACAATGGGATGGTTGCGGGTTGTCAGCTGAACAATGACATATGACCCCACCAACCCCTAAAATGTGCCAACGCACGAGTTTGTCCTCGGATTTGGCTCACTCACTTCTCTTAGCTGGGGGGGGGGGGGCTAGAACTGAGTTGGGAGACTGCCCAATTCCGACAACTGAAAAGAAAGCTTTACCGATGCGAAAGGAGTGCGCATGATTTAGCTGTATCGTACAATTCGCGGACAAACCACAGGACAAACCTCTGGCCCAAGGTGTCCTCTGAAGGTCACTAGCTGACGGTAATCGGGCACATTGAAAAGGCAGATATTACGGTGGGCGTCAATAGTGACGCAATAGATGGCAGAGCTTCTGACACTATTTCAATAGCTCAGCTGACTACCCGGTAGAAGCTGTAGCGGTAGAAACCTCTTTAGACCATTCTCACCGCTGACCCTGGCGGGTCTCACGTGAGGGGCGCGTGCCCGTAGGTGTGGACGGAGGTACCCGGCGCGTTCTGGCGGAGGATCCACGCATCAGCACCGAGGTAAGGTCGCAAGGCAATTGCCGGCGCCGATTAGGACAGGGAGATTCCTGCTGGTTGAAGGTGGTAAAGAAAGGGGTTTGTATTTATCTTCTCAGAAGCTACGCTTCCGAAGATAACGGTGCATGATGTGCCAGAGGGCCTTGATGATTACAGATAGGCTTTTGTAACTGCGTGCATTCATCCCACTACTATTGAGTGAGACTGTGCACTTGATTTAAACATTTGGGACTGTCAATTTTTTGTGGTGTCAAAGCTGAGAGTCCCAGCCTATGGCCCCTATGATGGGAATCATTTTTGTGTGATGGTGACTGGGGTTTGTCACATTTCAGTTGTGTTTATTTCTGTTTTTAGTTGGTGTTTCTTTATTTGAATATTTTGTACAAATCACTGTAATGCATTGCTGCTTGTTTTGCTTTTTAGTTGTGTCAAATGTTTTAAAGTGGTGACTTTTGATACCACCCTTTGTAAACCCAGCACAGTGCCCAGACCAATACAAATTTCAGCATGATTGCCGACCATTTTTGTGATTTTTCCAGGAGGCTTTGATGGTTTTAATACACATTAAGTTGTAGGCAGTTGCCAGTTCACCATCCAAGACCAAATGCTTGCTTTCTTAAGGGTAAATTCATTTGCCAGCTACAAACTACTAGAAATCTTCAGATAAAGATATTGTGCCTTAGCATCTCTGCCTATTTTAAGCATTGCATCAATACCATACAAGGGATGCTATCAGAGTAAATAGAGCCATGAGGAGTGGCAGCACCCTTATGTTGTGGATTTATTTGAGGTGTGGGTTACAGTGATCACAACCAGGTTCCCTGGCAGGTGGTGTAACTGATGGCAGCAGCCTGTTACCTTTGCCCATGGAAGTATAAATGTTAGCCTAATAGACAGCATTTGTTAGTACTCCTCAAATTTTATTTAGATTTAGATAGACTTTATTTGATTATTAGATATTTAATATAGATAGATATAGATATATTTGTTAGATTAGATTTGTAGATTTGTTACTCCTTAGACAGATAGATGAGGGCTGGGTCTCCTTCACCTAAGCACAAGGGAAACAAGTTAGGGAAGGCATAACAGCAAAGTGGTTAGCACCTCAGGCTCCCACCTGAGGGCCCGGCCTCATCCTTGTTGTTCTGTGACTCCTGAGCAGTTGAGCACTGATGTAGCCAATGCAGTCACTGGTGCTCCATAGAAGGGCTGTGATGATGTATGTTGTGCTCACTTATAAAAAATGGGAAAAGCCCTATATATAAGATCACATGCAGCAATGTGTCAGAAACACTTAGGTGCTATTTGCGTGACTGAAATTGCTAGGAAAGCAGTAGTACGAAGACCTAGCCTCATTCAGTGAAATTGATAAAGGATTGTAGATCATATATTTGTAGGGTCCAAGTCAGATTTCCTGTCATTGACTCATAGTAGGTAGCTGGCCTCACTGCAGTCAAGATTGACAGCTAGCTGATAATGGCATGCTAACCAACAGTTAGCTCCGCCAACTGCAGCTCAGCACGAAAGCCAAAAAGCTGTTGTTGGTTGAAAAGGGACACAGTCACAAAGGCAGTGCCTGCCCTTCCTGCCAGGGTGATAGGCAGGTGATGCCATAGAGCCTCAGCAGCTGAGTGTGTCTTAAAGCCTCAATGACACACACACACACACACTGTCACAAAGCCAGCTCAATACCTGGCAGCTACTGTTCCACACTGTGCTGGTGATACTACAGTGTAATGTGTGTAGTCACTCACTCACAGTTTGTCTGTCTTCAACAGCTGATGGCTGCAGAGTCCATGGGAGAAAAAGCTGAAGGAAATACCACACTATGGATAGGGCTTGGCCACAAGTCCTGATACTGAACACATAATATTGTTGCTGTGAACAGGGTTAACTTTTGAGTAGGATCTAAACATTCCCATGCATGATCTGGGAAATTAAAAGCATAGTACTAACATGGGAGCACACAAGTTTCCACAGCTCCTGACTGACTCTGGTTCCTCTTTCCACTTTCCATTTTCACACTTTTGGCCCAAATTCTTGGTGTGCCTTTGGTCAGAACATAACCACATGCCAGTACCTTGCATCCCATGATGACCAAGGTTTATCAAATCTACATCATGGTCTGCCTGTTCCAGACCAGCATCACATCCAGCCTGAGCCATCCAGCAGCCATGTCCCAGAAATCGACGATGCAGACCGAGCGCGCGCACACGATGCTCGAGCACACGGCCGCGCTGGACATCGACTCGGCGCCGAGCACCATCCGACAGACGGGCATCGTGTGCACCATCGGACCCGTCACGCGCTCGGTCGAGAAGCTGGTCCAGCTGATGGAGGCCGGCATGAACATCGCGCGCATGAACTTCTCGCACGGCACGCACGAGTACCACGCCGAGACGATGGGGAACGTGCGGCGCGCGTGCGAGGTTCTCAGCCAGAAGGCGGGCCGCCCGGTGCCGATCGGGATCGCGCTCGACACGAAGGGCCCGGAGATCAGGACCGGGCTGCTGGAGGGCGGCGCGTCGGCCGAGGTGGAACTGGTCGCTGGCAAGACCATCAAGCTGACCACTGACAAGGCGTTCGCCGAGAAGTGCAGCAAGGACGCCCTGTTCGTCGACTACGTCAACATCACGAAGGTGCTGAAGCCCGGCTGCAAGATCTACGTGGACGACGGCCTCATTTCGCTGCTGGCCAAGGAGATCGGCGCCGACTTCATCGTCTGCGAGATCGAGAACGGCGGCATGCTGGGCTCGAAGAAGGGCGTCAACCTGCCGGGCACGCCGGTCGACCTGCCGGCCGTGTCGGAGAAGGACCGCGGCGACCTGATGCTGGGCGTCGAGCAAGGCGTCGACATGGTGTTTGCCTCATTCATCCGCGACGCGGCCGGCGTGCACGAGATCCGCGCCGTGCTTGGCGAGAAGGGCCGCGACATCAAGATCATCTCCAAGATCGAGAACCACCAAGGCATCACCAACATGAACGAGATCATCGCGGCGTCCGACGGCGTGATGGTCGCGCGCGGCGACATGGGCATCGAGATCCCCGCCGAGAAGGTGTTCGTCGCGCAGAAGGCGCTCATCACGCGCTGCAACATCGCCGGCAAGCCGGTCATCTGCGCCACGCAGATGCTGGAGTCGATGGTGAAGAAGCCGCGCCCCACGCGCGCCGAGGTCTCTGACGTGGCCAACGCCGTGCTGGACGGCAGCGACTGCGTCATGCTCTCGGGCGAGACGGCCAAGGGCGACTTCCCGCTGCAGTGCGTCTCCATGATGGGCCGCATTTGCCGCGAGGCGGAGTCGGTCGTGTGGCACACCAGCTTCTACATGGACCAGTCGAGCCTGGTGGGTCAGGCCGACCACACGCACTCCGTGTCGCTGGCGGCCGTCGGCGCCTCGCTCAAGATGCAGGCCGCTGCCATCGTCGTGCTCACCACCACCGGCAAGTCGGCCCATCTCGTCTCGAAGTGAGTGAGAAGTGAGAAGTGGCGTCTTACCCCAGCTCGTCTCAAAGCACCGCGTCTTTCTTGCTCACCGCCGTCGACGTTGACTGAGGCCGACTCGTCTCATAAGGGATATAACTGGGCACCCAGGGTTCTCGAGACAAGTTTCAGGCTCTGGTCTAATCTAGTCCATGAAGTTGAATTCTACCTGCCCCTCCCCCCTCAGAGTTGCATTGATGTGCTTGCTACATAAATTCATGTCTGGAAAGCTCCAGGTGTCATATTTGGCCCAGCGGCTGGAGGCGCTGGGCCCACAGCGCTCAGGAAAAGACCAAGACATCGAGATTTGATTTATGCTGCAGGAAAATTCTGCGTAATGGTTGTCTGTTTCCATAAATAATTGGGCATTATATTGTGAACTATGTCCTGCTCCGACATGCCAATGGCATCGCTAATATTACTGGCAAACGTTACATACATGAGTGCGTTTTTGTGTTGAATCCCAATTGTGCCACTGTCCGTCAACGCTAATGCGGGTTTGAATCCCAGTTGCGCCACGGTCCGTGAACGCTAATGTGCCCAATGCAGTCCCTGGCCGCTCCTTGACAGCCGTAGTGACGTGCGTCGCGTTGGTTTTAAAGATATGATAATCGCCTCTCGCCTGAAAGTCTGAGGTCCGTCTAGTGACAGCCGCCCCATTTCGTGACTGCAGCTGCCTCTCCTGACAGCGGCCCCTCTTCTGACAGGTGTTCCCCGGACCGTCGGCCGCTCTCCCTGTTATCCGTCGCCTCTCCTGTCAGTTATGTGCTCCCCGAGGGCTGCCCCTCGTGGCCGATGTCGTTGCGCTCTCCCCGGGGGCGACTGTCGTCCCCTGACCGTGCCCTCAGACACCGCCCCTCCGTCAGGTACCGACCGCCGTCCCCCGGCCGTGCCCTCAGACACCGCCCCTCCGTCAGGTACCGGTCGCTGTCCCCCGGCCGTGCCCTCTGATACCACCCCTCCGTCAGGTACCGACCGCCGTCCCCCGGCCGTGCCCTCAGACACCGCCCCTCTGTTAGGTACCGGTTGCCGTCCTCTGGCCGTGCCCTCTGACACCGCCCCTCTGTTAGGTACCGGTTGCCGTCCTCCGGCCGTGCCCTCTGACACCGCCCCTCTGTTAGGTACCGGTTGCCGTCCCCCGGCCGTGCCCTCTGACACCGCCCCTCTGTTAGGTACCGGTTGCCGTCCTCCGGCCGTGCCCTCTGACACCGCCCCTCTGTTAGGTACCGGTTGCCGTCCTCCGGCTGTGCCCTCTGACACCGCCCCTCTGTTAGGTACCGGTTGCCGTCCTCCGGCCGTGCCCTCTGACACCGCCCCTCTGTTAGGTACCGGTTGCCGTCCTCCGGCTGTGCCCTCTGACGCCGCCCCTCCGTCAGGTACTGGCCGCTCCTTCGGCCGTGCCCTCTGACACCGCCCCTCTGTTAGGTACCGGTTGCCGTCCTCCGGCCGTGCCCTCTGACACCGCCCCTCTGTTAGGTACCGGTTGCCGTCCTCCGGCTGTGCCCTCTGACGCCGCCCCTCCGTCAGGTACTGGCCGCTCCTTCGGCCGTGCCCTCTGACACCGCCCCTCTGTTAGGTACCGGTTGCCGTCCTCCGGCTGTGCCCTCTGACGCCGCCCCTCCGTCAGGTACTGGCCGCTCCTTCGGCCGTGCCCTCTGACGCCGCCTCTCTACCAGGTACCGGCTGTGCCCTCTGACGTCGCCTCTCTGCCAGGCACCGGCCGTGCCCTCAGACACCGCCCCTCCGTCAGGTACCGGCCGTGCCCTCTGACGCCGCCTCTCCGTCAGATACAGGCCGTGCCCTCTGACGTCGCCTCTCTGCCAGGTACCGGCCGTGCCCTCAGACACCGCCCCTCCTTCAGGTACCGGCCGTGCCCTCTGACGCCGCCCCTCCTTCAGGTACCGGCCGTGCCCTCAGACACCGCCCCTCCGTCAGGTACCGGCCGTGCCCTCTGACGCCGCCCCTCCTTCAGGTACCGGCCGTGCCCTCAGACACCGCCCCTCCGTCAGGTACCGGCCGTGCCCTCTGACGCCGCCTCTCCGTCAGGTACCGGCCGTGCCCTCAGACACCGCCCCTCCGTCAGGTACCGGCCGTGCTCTCAGACACCGCCCCTCCGTCAGGTACCGGCCGTGCCCTCTGACGCCGCCTCTCCGTCAGGTACCGGCCGTGCCCTCAGACACCGCCCCTCCGTCAGGTACCGGCCGTGCCCTCAGACACCGCCCCTCCGTCAGGTACCGGCCGTGCCCTCTGACGCCGCCTCTCCGTCAGGTACCGGCCGTGCCTTCTGACGCCGCCTCTCCGTCAGGTACCGGCCGCCGTTCCCCGGCCGTGCACTCAGACGCCACCCTTCCATCAGGTGCCGGCCGCGCCCTCTGACGCTGCCTTTCCCGCCAGGTACCGGCCGGCATGCCCGATTGTGGCGGTAACGCGGTTCCCGCAGGTGGCGCGTCAGTGTCATCTGTATCGCGGCATCTTCCCTCTGGTGCACACGGCCGAGCGCGTAGACGACTGGCTCCAGGACGTGGAGCTGCGCGTGCAGTACGCCATCAACTTCGGCAAGGACCAGCACTTCATCAAGAAGGGCGACCCGGTGGTCATCATCACCGGCTGGCAGTCGGGCGCCGGCTTCACCAACACCATGCGCGTCATCTACGCCTAGGCGCGGGTGGTGACGGCCGGCGTCGGGCCAGGTCGGAGCCGGCCGGGCTGGCGTTGGCGCTGGTGTTAGCTGGGCCGAGACGGGCGGCTAGGCGGGTGTGCGTGTAAGGTTGGTGAAAGAGCGTGATTTTGTTCTGGTCGGCGGGGCGGAGTTGGTGGGCCGTCTCGGGCCGGCTCGGTGTTTTCCGCGTGCAGGTTCAGGTTGTGAACGTCGGGGCAGGTGTGTCACGTGGTTGTCAGCATAGGTTCAGTCAGTTTCCTCCTGCCCCGTGATTGGTCGGATGGGAAGTTTCCTCGGCCTAATCTGCGAAGGAAAGACACACTGCCTGCGTTGTTGTCCGGCACGCGGCGGGATCATGCTAATATGTCCTGCGGGCCGACTCTGGTTAGTGTAAGTTTTTCGAGTCAAACTCAGTGGTAATTAGTCATTCGAAGCTTTCTCCTCTGCGCTGCTGATGGCTCTGTGTAATTGAGCCGTGACAATGCCTGCCTTTACTGCGGCAATCTTGCTTTCCGTTGACATTGCTCAGGTTACTTCGCACACCGCGTTTCCGACTTTGGACCATTGTTGGAAGTGGGACGAGTGAGTCTCCTGGTTGATTTTGAATACTTTACACATGTATCCCACGTCATGGATAGCGTCCTCGTATAGGCTTATTTCACTACGAAAAATTGAGACCGATTTCATGCGCCTGAAGTTTTGATTGTTGCCTCGCATAATTGCTCAAGGCTGTCATTAAATGTGGGTATTATCTCGGAAATGTGTTACAAGTACGGTTCTGCGACGGCCACTGGATGTACTGCATGTTCGTAGAACTCCCGACGTTATGTCTGTAAATGATGTAACACTTCAATAAAGCTCTCGGCACCCGACGAAATGTTGTTTGTACATGCATGGAAAAAAGAAACAGCTGAACGCCATCTGCCCATTTTTACGTAAACGATAAGAGGGCGAGGAAGGCACCATGTTACATTTGTGTCTTTCAGTCAATGCCGCCTCAAGCCACCACTTCTTCGATTAAAATATCACTTGCGTTATCAAGACAAGCGTTTGCACATGCCCTTTTATTGTTAAAAGCCCGTTGCATTTTCGCAATGACTAAAACCTTACATACTAGCTAGGACAGCCATACCACACCATCAACAACACGACCTCACGCGACGACACAAAGCGACATATTACAGAAGTGGCAGGCCATGCGCCGCAACCGCGCCAACCCGCTGTCCCGCCGTAAGGACCAATCAGTCCGCCCGGTGAAATGACGTCAGCAGTTTTTCCGGAGGCTGATTCGTTGTCAAGAATGATCGCAGGTGTCCCGTGGAGAGAGGGTAATGGGCCGTCTTTGGCTGTCACGCGCAGGCATACAGCTTCCGACGTTTTCGGCGGACCAACCACGGAATATGGCAGAGCGTCTGGTCCCTGTAACAATGATGGCCGCCTGATGTCACGAAATACGCGACCCGTCAGCGGCAACTACCGGATGCTGGCCGGGCCGCATTATTCATCAACGAGCGGTAATCTGAGTTCCACGCAGAAAACGCCGCGTGTACAATGCATGAGGCATGTGGGCGGTTGGCAACAGAGCTGAAGCATTAGTTATAAACATTGGCGCCAGATGTCATGGGTGGTGTGCGTGGTATCCGTGATTCTGCTCGCACTCACCTTCCGAAGTTCTCTGATTCCTCGATGGTGTCCGGCAATTTCTGTCCGAAATTTTCGGGAAGGTAGAGAGCAACAGCTGCCCCGATCAAGCACAACACGCCGAAAATTGACATGGGTAGGACCTGGCTTTTTGAACCTTGTGCCTGAAACAGCAGTCACGGTGCTGTGGCGATGGTCCCGGTGCGGCGAAATTGGGAAGGTAAACAAGCATCGCATGAAAGGCAGGCTGTCGAGCGATGCATGAAATCAATGATGCTGGACAGGGAAACTTCCTGTCAACATAAAGACGTCGGCTTCATATTTGGCATGCTTTTGACTCTTGGACGATATCACCGATGAAGGGCAGGTCATTCAGGTCACGGTCCAGGACTGCTAAGTGGGGTGTTCCACATTTATATGGAGTTTTCAACTGAAATAGCCATATTCAAGACCTTTCGGTGCTGTTCGCTGTCTTTTTTTCTTAAGACTAAAGCCCTTCTGGCCTCTGAGCTACACGCCCGCGAAAATGGGGAAAGGTATTTCGGGAGATTATTTCGAAGGCATTCATGACGTCATGATAGCGTCATTGAAATCCGGCCATTCCACAAGGCATACGGCGATCGAGGCCAAAACATATCGTCGTCGAGGCGTTCATATCAGGCGTTCGTGAGCGTGCTTTCCGGTTATAGTTTTTCCGTGAGAGTGATTTGCTCCAATTTCTTCAAATGTAAAGCATCCCATTTAAGTCGGCCCAAGGAATCAGCTGGAATCCAGCTTGACGTGAGTATTGGATCAACATTCAGCAACAAAAGTCGGTCCGTGACGCAGCTCGAAGGCATCCTCGTCTCCGCAGACGTGACACAGCTATTGCATGGCTCCTGAACCGCAGAGAAAACGGCGGTGCTGGGCTTTAAAACGGATCGAGACCATTGACTAACTGTGTTTGGGGATGGCGTGAATGTCATGATTCTGGTATCTTTTACCGCCTCCTAGCGGTGGCATTTATGTACGGGGGTTTGAACCCGCACGAAGTTTTGTCTGGCATTACTAATTCAGAGGACATTGTGTTAATATCTGACTACCAAAATGCGTCCCACTTTTGTAACAGTTGTACACTTTAAGGTTTCCGTAATTGTCGGCGGCGCAAAAGTTAATGTCAGCCTGCCAATATGTTCGAACGTAGTTTCCGGAGTATGCACCGCCACGCCATACAATTTCTCCCAAAAACTGCCACTGCTTGAATGCGTATGGAAATTATGAGTGAGGATCGATCCGAGTAGAAATGCTGATTCAAATCGGTCGAGAGGCAAGAGCTGGATCCACTCTGACGTCAAAAACCAAGGATTTGAAATCAAATTCGTGTGACCAAGGCTTGGGATGACCTTGGTTTCATTTTCAGTTCGAATCAAAACAAGGGTGGGTTGCAGCGTGTGCACGTTGGCATAGCTACAAGTAAGGGGTTGTTAGAAATGCTATTTCATCATGTCACTATCATTGAAAGACTTTGAAACGGAACAGCACGCTGTAACAGACACAGCATTTAGCTATGTCATGAAGGAATATATGTTATGAACCTGAAAAATATGACATGAAAAATGCGTTACAACAAATCGAACCTGTAACAGACAATTAAAATATACTATCAAAAATGCAACTCATTTATGGAAAAAGCGAACTATGATATGAGAAAACAAAGCATATTATTAATAACGAAATGCCTGATGAAAACAGAAAAAATATGAATAATGCTATAGTAAGTAATAAGATGTAATAACCACGCAATGAGAGAGTGGCTATTTTCGTCATTTACCGCATGATGACGTTGGTGCCCGTCCGGCCGTACATGCGTAACGTACCAGACTGGCAATGACCGACGCCAGGATGGAGCCGATTCGGCCGGCAGCCGACGAGATGCCGATGCCGCTGTTGTGAAGATCCGTCGGGAACAGCTCCGCGCCGTACACGAACACGATGGCGAACGTCGCCGACGCGCCGAATTTGCCGACCATCGCCAGGGCCACCGTGAGCGTCTGCATGCCTGAAGTGGGTAGTAGGAGAACTCGGCGGTTTGAGGGCACGGGTTATTGCGTTACCTTCTTGCGCGTCTCAACAGGCAGAAGATGCGGGCGGCTTAGGTGCATTCAATATTCCGCGCCACGTGCTTATTGTCCCAGAACGGGAACCCAAAGGTGTTCTATAATTCAGAACCCTTTTGAACGGGATGGCATCTTTTTGTATGCTGGTCTCACATGCAATCGGGCGTTTGGAAAAGGCCGATTTTTGAAGGCTCTTTGCTGTGTGACAGAACAGGTCCAATTCCTGTGAGCAGGTTCCATTACGCGTGGGTCGTTGGAATACTGCCACAGCACCTTTAGTCAGACTTATTTCAGTGAAGATCTTATATTTTACCCGCCCACATAAGGACAATGTCACCGGCAAACGAGTATATCCTTGCGGGAATTGGGGACCCGCACATCAAAGTCATGCGCGCGTCCTTGCCGCACGCTCTCTCTGGTCGCTGCCCTGCTGCCGCTCTCGCCCACCTTCGAGGCCGGACACCACTCCACTCCCGATGCTGCCGAGGCCGCCGAGCACGAATGACAGGCTGAGTATCAGCTTGCGCCCCCACGGGTCCAGTAGCAGGATGCAGCGGAAGGCGGCCGGCACCTCGATGATCTGCACTAGGATGAAGTTGACGTAGACGCTGCTGCCCAGTCGTGTGGCGTTCAGGCCCAGCCCGTAATAGACCACCGCGCACACGAACCTGGTGAATATGGTGCGTCAGGATCAGCAGCAGCGAGGCAAGCTGCGCGAACATGCCACAGGTGATGCGGCACGACTAGTCACAAGTGTAGTCACAACCCGATCTGTAGGAAGCAAGACAGCACGGGGCCTGCCGCTGAGACATGCGCAGTGTCCTAGAATTGCCGACTTTGGGTGTAAAGCAACACCCTATGAGGAGGAATTTTTCACTCCTTTCCCCCATATTTTATGTGAATTTTTCACTCCTGGGACACCTATGGCTGTGTACTGCCTCGCCTACATCCGAATCATGTCTATGTGTGCACAGAGCAAGAGCGCCAGGTACCTCCAAGCCCAAGTACCCCAGCGACCCCAGCCGCTTGCACGCATTAAGTTTGGTTTGTTTACAAAATGTATCACGATCTGCAGCTGTGCGCCAAATGCAAGGTTTTCACGCATCCCCTATTGTTTTGGTCTCACCGCCACACCACGGAAGCAGAGCCTGGTGCAAACACCAGTAAGGCCTGGTAGATAATTTTACTCCACGTACTTCTTTTTTCCCGAAGAAAACTTGACCACTAAATGCATAACTCCCAAAATGCATGAGTGAAAAGTTCAGGAAATGTCTTTTAAATTATGCTTACATGATGAATATCACCATTTGAGCACTTCTGTTAACAGATTTTCAGTCAAATCAGCTGAATACAAAATTTTGCAAGAAAAGTACCAGTCTTTATATGTATTTAGCTACTTTTGTTTTTCTTGATATCATACCAGTGTGATACCACTTTATTCTTCCTTCCTTTTCGATTGCCTTTAGAGGTACCATCTGCTGTTTAAAATGCTGACTAATTCCTCTGCAAGATGCTCCAACTGCAAGCTTGTACGTATTTCATACATAAATTGGATAAATTCGCCAGTCGCCCAAACATGTTTGATATGCACCCAAGCGTGAACAATTCACAGGGATGAAGGAGCCAATTTGAAGCACGGAACTTATTTTTACCGCCATTTGTGCCCCCTTAAACCTTTGGTTAACTTTTTTTTTGGTTCATGGCGGTGCTCAATAAGGATAAATCCAAGCTTTTCGAGTGTCTGGCTTACCAGGCCCAAGGCCGTAGCACAGAACCAGGCTACCTGGCAAGGCTGAAAATAGCCTTGCCTGTGCCTCTGTATGACACCATTAGAATATGCTGTCATATGGAGCCTTGGGACGGACCTGAAGCAGCTAATACAGAAGTGTTTGATGGCGAAATTCTGTGTTGTGAAGATGTCTGTCATGCGCGACTCTCACTTGTTTCGCACTTTAATCTCGAAAGTTGGTGGGCATGATTGATAATTATATTTAGGGGGTGACTCGGATGACCCTGTCTGCCAGCAGACCATGCAAAAGGTACTGATTTTTGCTTTTGGGGGAGCAGGAAGAAGCCGGTAAGTCTCCTGTGGACTAAGTAATTGCTTACCTTACCTGCTGTCAACATATGATTGTTAGCCAGAGTTAAATATTGCTATGTAACACATAGTGAGACCACCCCATTTAAAAGATGAAGCCAACATCTCAAACTTTGTCATCAAATATGGGTAAACAAGCCCAAATGGATGCATTTGCTGCAGCTGAATGGGCAAGCAGCAATACTGGCATGGTCATCTAAAAGTGATGTTATTTTTGGAGAAGAGAGATTGTTTTGTGGAGCATACCCATCATTGCCCTTGACATAGGCTAACCATGACAATCAGAATAAGTTGTTCAAAGTGATTTAAAGTGTTTTGATTTGTGTGTTGTCAACTTTGTCTGATGTCAACAAGCATGCACAAATGAACTGAATAAAAATGCAAGTTGAAACCGGCCAAAAACTAGCTTTAAATATCATGTTTTTATCACAAGTGCTGCTGTCAACAGGCAGGTGAGTTGAGATGATGTGCATCATACGGACTACTGTAAGTTAGGTTGAGTTGGTCAAGTGCATAACAAGTGACAATAGGAATTGTGCAAGAATCAGTAACTCACAACTGCTGCTGTGTTAAAAACAGGTTATACAGGATGAGATGATGTAAGGCCTCTTTAGGTTAGGCATATGCTACTTTCACGAAAATAAGCCTTGGTACTTTGTAGGAAGCAGTGAAAAAATGTTTGTTTTCCCTGACCCCACCTTAACAGAAACCAGAAGTATGTCTATTGTGTTTGACTTGGTGATGGGCTGATGTGTAGGAGTCCAATGTTTTTTTGTTTGAGTGTTTTATGCTTGTTGAAATTTCTGTTGTTATATTGTTATTAAATTCCTTTGCTTTGTTTTGTTTTAAAAGTGCTGTAGAAGGGAATTGAACAGTGCAGCATCACATTATTGGTGTTAGTAATTTGTTATGCTCACAGTACCGCCATGAAATTACCGTGCTTCAACACGCGCCCGGTTGGCCGGCTAGATACCCTTCGCTCGGGTGTGAGGGGGTCAATTTGAACCCCCTCTGAGATCTCGGGAATTAAGAAAGCTAGAGACACCAAACTTACAGGGTGTCTAAACCTAGATGTGAACTCACTTAGGTTGAGGTTTCAGCTTTCTGGGTCATGACCTTCTCTGTGTCATGTTCTGCTGTTCTTCTCGTGTCATGCGAGAGCACGACCTGCTGCTGTTTGGGGCGGAGTGGCTGGAGGTGCTGTCAGACCGCTAAAGGTGCATTACTTAAAATTATTTACTTCGCCAGTCTTATTTTTAACTCCTTCGCGTACTGAACATAGTTGCACAATTTAACGGAAACTTTACAGCCTCGTTTGCTTTGTCAGACTGTGAAAAGCTACGAAGACGCTTGTTTAGTATCGTCCCTTTTATCTCTCTTTGTGTTTAGTATCGTCTCCAACGGCTGCTTCGCCATGTGCCGACCTGTGTTTCGCGCCGACAGGCATTGCCCGGTCAGCCCACTCACGTCACATATGACGTCACTGGTCTCCGGCTGTTTCAGGGACCAGACCATCTGTTTTGTGCCCTGTTTGATTAGCCGGCGTAAGGCACAAGGCTCCGCGTCGGCTCAGTGAGCGGCCATCTCGGCCGCCTCACCGCTCCCGAGCCCCGGCGACACCACGGGAGCGTGCATTCCCGGCCGCCTCCCCGCGCCGGGGCCCCGGCGACACCATGGGAGGGGCTAACCCGGCCGCCTCCCCGCGCCTCGACCCAGGCGGCATCATGTGATGAGGCGGTGCCCGGCGCTCTTTGAGTCAGCCGGGCGACTCGCCGCGACGAGTCACCGGGGCGGAGGACCGGTTTTAGTTGGAAGGGGGGACGTCCCTTCAACCCGCGGTTGAGCCTTTCCCCTCATATTGAAGTTGAGCTCGCCTGTACAACGAGCCCGCGCAAAATTTGAGACACTTAATCAACAAAGGACATTAAAAACGGATACCACGCGCAGGGACTATCGCGCCATTTCTCCCTTACATCCCTGACACGTTAAATCCTCATCAAATACCGAAATCACGTGGACCAACTTTGGTGAGAACCCAGCGCTATGGGCACGCTAGGATAAACAGCATGTGGCTGCGCTTGCCCACTTCCCCCTCCATGGTTTTCCACATGACATCCGCACCGTGGCGGCACACTTGCCCTCGGGTGCATGACTGTACCGCATGTCCGCCGGCGTACTGCGTGGAAAAACTCCAGAAGCAGGCGCTCAAGATGTGGCTCCAGTCGTTCCCTCCAACAAGGGTCTTCCAGCACACTTCCATGACATTTTACCGGCCACCAATTCCGAATTCAGGGCTACTAGCCGCCAGTTCCGAATTCGGGGCTACCGGCCACTTCCGAATTCGGAGCTACCGGCCACCAGTTCCGAATTCAGGGCTACCGGCCACTTCCGAATTCAGGGTTACCGGCCACCAGTTCCGAATTCGGGGCTACCGGCCATCAGTTCCGAATTCGGAGCCACCGGCCACCAGTTCCGAATTCGGGGTTACCGGCCACCAGCCCTCCATTCACTGCACCCGTCCCATATCACGCATAGAAAGGTCGCAGCATCTACTCATAGCAACATTTGATAGACAAATATAGCTGAATTTCGACACATGCGGGTACGCTGCGAGGTAGTGGTTAATGCACGCCTGGGAGCTGTCCGAAGTGTGCGGACCTGACAATTTTAGGAGACAGTTATGACGCTCATCCACAGCGGCGTGCCTAGCTCAGTGCTGTTCTGTCCTGCTACTGTGTGCGCCCCCGTTCAGTAGTAACAGGGTATGTTGCCGTAGTTTCATTCAGCATGACTGCTTATGCAGGTTGGCCCCGAAATTTGATTAAGTGCGAGGTTTGATCGATTTGATTTGATGCGTGTGTGACGAAATGCGGCACATGCTTAAAAGGAAATAAGAGTTCTGATCAGAGCTATTTGGTGACACATTTACCTAAGGCATGGTGATTTAAATGCTTGGCAACATGATTGACAGATGAATAAACAATATACCCGACTTCTTCAGGTGCTCCTGCGTATTTCCGTCGGATCAGTTGCAACGTTGATTGCGAGGAACATTGCTCATTGTACCGCATGTTTATCGGAGATCATCAGCTGCCCCATATTATGTTGTGTCTGTGAATGAATGAATGTGGAATATTTCATAAATACAAGATGAACGTCGATGGAGTGGTATTTGATTTTTTGTCGTCACGTTCATCTGAGAGACCTGCAGAAACAGGGTGTAGGTCTGTCATAATCTTCGGGTGACGTCAAGGTCTGCAAATATCTGCACTGGACGATATGACGCTGAAGCGGACCCCAGATGGTATGACGTCATGCGGCCGGCCGACGCCGCCGCACTACGGCGTGTAATGCGACGGTCAAACACCTGAGGCTCATAAGAGGCAAAGAATGCTCCTAACCTGTGCAGACTGTCAACGTAACGATGCCACATTTGTATAAAATAAATGTGAAACTCTGCCATTGAGCCTCTGATACCCGAGAACTACCGGTGGTAGACTACGAAACCTAATATATTCTGAATCAGCGTGGTGAGAGGAAGGTTTATGTAACACTTCGGACGGTCGGTTC